GTTCAATTTTATTTTGGTCTTTTAACTAGTGTGTTTTTCAAGTGTGATTATCAAATTCAAATTTGATCCTTGAATATCTCAGTTAATAGTTATAGATCAAATTTGATTAATTTCAAAATCAAATACTAGAAGTAAAAAGGGGATGAAATAATAAAAAAAAAAAAAAAACTAAAATTAACTCTAAAAATATTTTTTTGTTAAAATTAAAACAATGTCAATGTATTGTTCCAAAGACATTCACTACTCAACTAGTTAACCAATTCAAAAAAGTTAATAATATAAGTCTGAACTAAAACTTAAGTAGTCATCACCACCCATGCCCTAGAGACTAGTGAATTGAATGAGGTGAATCGCAGGACATGCATGAACTGGTCAATAGACCCTCATACGTTTATACACTAGTGCGCACAACAATGTCAAATTCATACGAATTTATTTTGAATTGCTTGACGATTGACTAATTTGAGTTGTATTACAAGAACAAGAAGTTAACAACCGTTGTATTGTGGACCAGAGTTCACAATAGATAGTGTGGATCATGGTCAAAATTTTATATATATATATATATATATATATATATATATATAGAGAGAGAGAGAGAGAGAGATAACATATTATTATGTACATTCAATTCAATTTATTTACCCATGTTTACATAGTATGACTTAGAACAAGGTTAGAAGATGTACATAACCATATATAATATATTAACTGCATATACATAATTTATTTCGTTCGCTCTGTCATTAAACTATAAAAAAAAAAAATTGTATTTACAGCATAATATCTTGGTGACAGTTGATGATAACTGTGTATGTCCATGATTCTACCCTATATATAGACTTATTTTGAGTAAAAGATATTTTGGTTTTATGCAAAATGTGTCTTAGTTAATTTGTTTATATCCTTAGGTGCATAAATTGTTGATTTGAAGACAATCGTATGCTTTTCGGAGCATTTTGAGTGTATTTCGAGTCAATGGGAGTCAATGTGAAGCTAAGGAGGTGGCTAAAATGCTTCAAAGAGAGCCAAAGAGTTGTACTTTCAATAGATTTGATCACAAGAACAAAATAAGGAAAAAGTGGAGCAAAAGATCAAACAATTGTAATTCCCGCTAAATTTGGCGACATTTTAGAATTTTGATCATATCTCATTCTAGGAATGTCCGATTCAAGTGATTCTTGTGCCATTGGAAAGAAGACTCGAAGGATACAAGTATACAACTCTTATGAAGATCTCAAAGTCTAATTTTGAAGGGAAAAGGGTCAGAAATCAGCCTACAAATCAGACCTGTGATGTAGAAGCACATTTGACGTGTCGAAAATTTCCAGTAGCCTATTCCTAAGCAAGAGTCCACATTCGACGCGTCGAAAGTTTCTAGTGTGCATCTTGAAGAAAGGAGATCAAGATTCGACATGTCGAATGTCCGTGTTGTGCGAGATTTCAGCTGTCAAGAAATTCCTATTCTACCCTTATTTGGCTCCCACTATAAAAGGCTCATCTTCCTCAAACCCTAGAACTAAGCTGCGTTTTTTGAGACAAAAAAAAAAAAGAGAAGATAATCACACCAAGAGCTACAAGTCACCTTGGAAGAAGAAGGAAATGCTAGGAAGATTCGGGAGAATCTCTTTCCATTTTCTTTTACTTTCTTTGTTTCTTGTAAACTCTTTTATATTATTGCAATGAATGCTATTCTAGCCATGAGTGGCTAAAACAACTTAGGAATTTTTGGGTGAAAGTGTTTATGAACCTATGTGACTAGTTCTTAAATTCATTTTAATATATTTACATTTGGGTTTTATAGCTTGTGTTGCAATTGTGTTCTATCTTGTTGATGCTAGTAATTAAGGGCCCAAATTACTCGTTTCAATGCTATCTTTATGTCTTAATGGGAGTTAGGGCATATTTTAGAGCATCCACAATTGCACTTAACTATTGCACATTGGGAGATGACATTTTAGTTAAGGATTTATCTTGAATGCTTGTTCTTGAATTGTTAGAGTGTTTATATCATGGGAATGAATATTCACTCGCATTATTTTAGGTTGGAATTATGGTAGTAATTCCTTCCCTGGTATGCATTCTCACGCATGTGTGAACACAAATTAAATGTTGCACTTTAGATTGGCACTAGGTAATTAAGCACTTGAACCCCAAAAATCCCACTCTTTCTCTATTGTTTTCATCAACCTACTACCTTGTTCTCTTTTAATTAGTTTTACCTTTACAATTAGTCGATCACCCTTTTTCATAAGTATGAACTTCTCGTGAATAGAATAGTAGCTAGTGTTTGATACGCACCGCTTCCCTGAAGATCGATAACCCGATACTCCGGGTATTTATTTGTTTGTTAAAATATGCTGCAACCAGTTGACAATTCGAAGTGATTGAATTAGGTTTATGTAATGTTGTTCCAAGAACATTTGACTTGTCATCAAGAGAAGTCAGTCCAAGTTTAACTAAAAGACCCATCTAAAAGCAATTGAGTCTATTCTATTATTGTAACCATTAGAGACGTTATTACATCCAAAATACCTAAGGTTACTTAATTAGTTGATTATCAAAGGATTGAGTGATTAATAATTACACTTGTTACGGATAAATAGATCATATATTGTAAAATTTGAACATCCCATGAACATACACACAATAATATATATATTAAAAAAAAAAAAAAAAAAAAAAAAAAAAAACAAATGGATTTTAAAAAAATCAAGAAGTGCAAGCATGCATTAACGTAACTGAGATATTAAGTGCTTCACATCAGATTGATTAAGACGCTTTGGCATGAACATAAGAGCTCCTTCTTCCAAGCATCTGTTCATCATCAAAGTAATTAATTCTTAATTACTTTTAACTGAATTTAAGGTAGTTTAAGAGTTGACTAGCCCAACAATATTGTTATTATTGTTCTTACTGGTTGATACGATTTGGAACATTCTCTGATGACATTACCACCACAACTGGGACATCCTTAAGCATTGCTGATTCCTATATATCCAACCTCAACATATTACAATATAATATAATGAAAAAAACAAAAAAAAAAAAAAAAAAAAAAAAAAAAAAAAAAAAAGGTAAGAAAATAGGCTATCTCTAATATATGAGAATGTATCTTGCTTTCTCAATGATATAATATTTCTCTCCCCTCTCTCTCTCGACTTGTGTGCATAGCATATAGCCCGTTGCTAATAACTTGTTTTTAAAGTCAAAGTGCACACTTGCGCTATGGTACGATGTACACTTTGACTTGATCTTCTCAAAATGAAGTAAAAAGTATTCCTTTATTGGGAATTTTTTTTTTTTTGGAAAATTCTAAGAGCATCTCCATCTTTGCTGATTTTTTCAAATTTTCTTAGCCACCTAGGTGGTAGGGTGAGAAAAAACAAAAAGTTAAAAAAAAAAAAAAAAAAAAAAAGTTTATACCCATTGGTGCGCAGACGATTATTATTTAACAAAAAAATTCGTGGAGCCCACAAAAAATTCATATATACTACAAATCTAATTTTTTCTCTTTCCTTCATTCTCTATCCTCCAACTCATGTCTTCTCGAGTTCCGTCCTCCATATGTACATAAAAAAAAAAAAAAAAAAAAAAAAAACTCCAAACAAACCCCCGAAGGGGTTGCTCTAACATTGAAAATATCGTTTGAAAATCTAAAAATCATGAAGAAAAAAAAAATTGTCCCCCCCCCCCCCCAAAAAAAAAAAAAAAAAAAAAAAAAAGAAGAATTTTTGTACCTTAACTTTCTTGAGAAGCTGATAGCCATTGATTCCTGGCATGGAGTAATCTGTTATTATCAAATTTATCTTTGGGACCTGCAGAAAAGTACTGTATGTAGTAAACATTCTTGATGAACCAGAGAGTGAATTTTGATGAATTTCCATGTCCATGCATCATTTGAAGTAATTAAGATTTGTGGATATATGGAATGGAATTTAGTACTAACATTGGTGTTTGGAGTGTTGTGTTGATCATCTCCCAATAACCCAGGTACTCCAAGGCTCTCATCCCATTTTCTGCAGCAGTTACTGAAAACCCACTTTTTATCATCAAATTCCTTTCTCATTACATGCACATTTATTCAAGAAAAGTTGTAATTTTGATCTTTTAAGTTATGTACGACTACTTTCAAAAAAAAAGTTATGTACGACTAGTTGTTTTGGTCTATGATTGTTCACCTTTATAAATATAGTCCTCAATTACTTCACAATATTGCCTTTTTAATCATTTTTTAGTGAAAAGCTAAACAAATAGTGACTACTTGAAGGTGTGCATTAGGTAAACTCTGCTCTTATGTAATATTCCGTAGCATAAAAACTATACATAATAAGTAAATTGCACTAGAAAGACTATATGCGATGGGTTCAACCAAGAAAGTGTTGACAATAATCAAACTTGTAACCTTTGGGTACGATAATTATGTTCTACTCAACAACTTTAATTTAATACTTTTGTCCTCATGTTTCTTTGTCAATTGTTCCTTAATGTAGTTAGTGTTGAAAAAATTGAGATTTCTGACCACAAGAAAGTGATTAAAATTATTAAACCAGGTTTGTGGTTAGAACTTAGAAGTCAAGGTTCCAACTAACTTTTTCTACTCATTTGAGGACTTGAAAAAATGTTTTGTCACTATTTTTGACTATCAGTCCAAAGTGGTCAGAAACACTGACTATGAATAAATACTGTTAGAAAATTTTGGTTAATGTAATATATGCTTAGAAGTTCTAAACGCCACCCCCAACGGTGGGTGGAAAAGTTTGAAATTTTTCATTTACTTTTGGATTGTTGAAAAATTTAATTGTGATCTCAATACAAAGCTTAATTTATGAAGTGGTCGATAGAGCTAGATCAGAGACATTACCACAAATCATTAACGTTCCGATATCAAGAACCGAAAACACAACATATTAGAATGACACAACAAATGACTATATTTCCAAAAATAACAAATTCAATTACCAAAACAATTAAGCTAGCTAGCTTGGTCATGCACAAACCTTTGCAAGAAGAGGACTTGAGCAATTTCTCAAGGATGATAAGGTTAATTGGATCGTCATCAACAGCCAGCACATGGATTACTTCATCTTCCCCATTTTCCCCCATTGCCATTGATGAAGGGCAAGCCATTATTTTCTTTTCCTTAATTTCAACAAAAAGAATGCAGAGAGAGAGAGAGAGAATGAATGAATGAAATTAAAGAAGATCCGAGTGGATTAATTAAAGAGGAGGCTTATGCAGTCTTAAATTTTTAGGCCAGCTGTCTCATCCAAAAGATGTGTCCACAGTTTAGTGAGGGAATTAGTCATTGTGTCCGACGGTGGAAATCTGGGGTATACCAAAAAAAAAAAAAAAGGCTTATATTAAGGGTGTGTTTGGTGGGGATCATAATCAGATTGACAATGAAATACTTGGTAATAGTATGAATTTGTATGAATATATTTTGTATGTTTGGTAGTAGCAGGGATGTTTGGTTATGTATGACCATAGGGAATAAAAGTTTTAAAAATACAAAAACAAAAAACCAAGACAGTTGATCTTAATATAATGACATCCAAAACACTAATATGAATAAAAAAATCAAAACAAAAATCTAAAAACACTAATCCAAACTTAAAAATCAGGTAATAAGATGGAATGATATATTTTTTAATTAGGGGATGAGGGTTTTAATTGAAAAGGTAATCAAATCTTATAGTTGTGTTTTAAAATGTTGTCAACCAAACACTAACTATGATTTTTAATTCTCATTATTCTTGTTGTATAAACTCATGAACCAAACACACCTTAAATTTTGTTTTACGTCGTCATCAGACGATGGAAATCTGTTTTGAGTTTGCAGATCAGACAAACAACGTAATGTACTTGCAATTGTCTTAATCTCTTGGAAAACATCATGGACAGTCTGTTATTACTTATTAATGATGCTTTTTAATTAATCTCGTTCTCTTCCTTGAGTGGGAACGTGAAGCTAATGACGATAAGGGGAAAAAGGATAATCCATCTTTTTTGATACATGTGAATATGTGATGAAGAGAACCATACTTCAAATCATAATTGGCAATTATTGGAAATTTATATAGCTGGTCGTATTATTTAAAGTTCTAGATATCACTATCAAGCATTTAAATAATATTATATTTTAGTGTTACGGGATAAAATATCATGTTTAAGTTGGTTGGATTTTATTGCTTGTTTATTGACTATTTGTTGAAAGACAAAACTTTGTCTGACTGTTTCATGGATCTTTGTTCATAAATGGATCGAGTCAAGATGAAAATGTAATATTTATACTAGAAAATGTAACACTAATCAGAAATAAAGTGTTTGTTACTTATGAAGGAAAGTTCAATACTTTTACATTTTGATTTAAAAATATTATATTTTTCTTCAAAAGTATTACACTTTTCATTATAAGTAATAAACATTTGATTCCTGATAAGTATTACATTTTTTCAATATAAGTATTACATTTCCATCCTGACATAACCCATCTCACATATAAGGATCATATCGTTGAGACGGTCTTATAGGAGAGTCAACTTTGTTGAAAATATATATTTCTGTGTAGGGGTGAGCAAAATATCGGTTAACCGCCCGATAACCGAACCGTCCGAAAAAATCGATTATCGGTCGGTCACGGTTATTACTTTTAAAAAATTGTCGGTTATTCAGTTTTTCGGTTATACTACGGTTATTGGGGGTCGGTTATTGGTCGGTGACCGATAACCGATATATAGTATTTATATAATTATATATTTATATAGATTTTTACTGTTAATTATTTATAGTTAATTTTTGTTTACTATTAAGTTAATTGTTTATAGTTAATTACTGTTAATTGTTTATAGTTAATTTTTGTTTACACTTAATAGTGTTTATAGTTAATTTTACAGTTAATTTTAAAAACAGTGTGTTTTTAATTTTACAGTGTGTGTGTGTTTTTTTTTTTTTTGAAAACTTACAGTGTATTTTTAATTTTACACTTTTACAGTGTGTATTTTACAGTTAATATTGTTAATTTTAATTTTTGTTTACTATTAAGTGTTAAGTGTTAAGTATAAAGTGTAAGTGTTTTAAATTTTTGTTTACTATTAAGTGTTAAGTGTTAAATCGATTTTTTGGTAACCGACCGAAAATCGACGGTCGGTTTTTGGTCGGTTGTGGAACGACCTTCGGTCGGTTTCGGTCGGTTACGGAGGTAAAATATTTCAGTCGGTTATGTAACCGACCGACCGTTTGCTTACCCCTATTTCTGTGTAGATCTCCCCAAATAGTAAACTTTGGGTTTGAGGCAAATCAGGTGTAATCAAATATCTTTAATTCGATTCGTGATTCGAGTTCAAATATTTTGATTCGCATCAGAATATATTTGATTAGACTAAAATTCGAATAAAGACCTAATCAGTAATCACCTAAGTCCAGAAGATCAAAACTCTAAACGCCTCACTACCTCAGCGGCTCAGCTCTCGTCAGTCCACTCTAGATTTGTGATGATGACACCGACGATGGACTTCACGTACATACAATAGCGGCATTAGCACGACGACGGTGACGTCTGTAAGACTTTCCCGTATAATATATATTATATATTATGGGTCTTACTTATGTGGTGCAAGTGGACTAGGCCCATTAAGTAATTGGTTGGGTTGGACCTTTAGGTTTAAGTCTTATATCCACCAATGTGCCTATATAAAGCTTGTATTGATGGGATACAAGATACATGAATATTATATGGTACTCATACTGCTCAGAAAATACCAATACACCATCTAGGGTTCTGAGTCAAGTATGAGACAAAACGGCTAACCCTATTCTGCAAATCTACAATACAACAGGATACCAACTATGGCTGGAGATCTACAATGCTTCCGCTTCCGCTGCTACGAGTTAAGTTTCTCGTAGATTATGCTTTGTATATTTAAATCTCACATTTGGTATCAAGAGCCTTTATTAATCTCTGTCTGGTTGATTGTTGTGCCTAAAACAATATCAATTTATTTTCATATACATTAAGTTTTTGTATATGAATATTTGGACTGCTGAAAATTATTATTTTTAGCATTAATAAAATATTTTTTTTTTGAAAACATTTGTTTGGCTCAATGAGATATATGTTGTATGAAATTTCATTCTTCCCTTCACAAAAATTTCATGTTGATCCCATTTATTGATGATTTTATGGTTGTTGCCTGACCGGAATTACGAGTGCTGCACCATGGGGCGCTGTTGGTGGGAGACCGACTCTCAATCATAAAGAAACTTTAGCCATTGATTTCGCGGCTACATGAGGAGGAATAAAGTCACTGGTTTTCCGGAGAATGGGCAATGGATGCAGTAGACGGTGACCGGCAGCAAGCTACGGCTTTGCGATTTGCAGACGACGGCGGCTTCAGACTCCAGTGGCGTCGTAGCAGCAACGCCGTGGGACGCTGTGGGGTGGCAACTTCTTCGCCTAAGCCACGTACGGCATCGATGGAGAAATCACCGGTCAGTTTGTTTGTCCGGTGGCTTCCCTGCTTCTTCGCTAGTTTTCCGGCGACGTCCTGCTTCAGGTGACGTTGGCTCCGGGCTGCGGCTGCTCCATCTGCACGCTGCTATTAAGGTCGGCGACGGTGTCCTTCTTCAGGCGGTGTCTTCCGTGGATGGTGATGATCCGACGAAGGCATGCACCATTCCAGGAAGAAAACGGATGAGTACTACTGGTACATTTCCTTTTTCAAAATTGCAATATACCTTTATTTTTAGTTTTTTTATCATATTTAGTTTCCTTATTTAATTAATATTACATATTAATTTTGGTAAATGGTAATTATGTGGTTTAATTATTATCATATTTATATTACCTAATTTAATATGATATATTATATTATTTTGGCAAATGGTAAAAATATGGTAATTGCTTGTTTTTTTGGATGATGCCCTTTTGTTTTCTTAATTTTGGCATTGAATTCATAATTAAATTATCATTCAATTATGGGAAAATATTAAGATTTAAAGTTTCTATGTGAATCTTAATTTAATATTAAAATGTATATTAAATTGCCTGAAGTATTGCAATTTGTTTAGGATATTCATGAGTTAATATATATTAATATGTAAAAATCCAAGCATGCTATGTATATTCATAAATTATTTTATTATAATTGTACATTCATAAAAGCATGCATTAAAGTTGGATTAAAATATTATCAACTCATAGTCTCTATATTAAATGTCATTCATTTTTTAGGATCCTTAGGTCAATATCTGACATTATGGTCTGTTAAGACAACTTGTTTGGTTTCTCATTTAATTCTGAGCATATTTTAGTCCTATTTCTGACTTAGGGCTTTAAAACCTATTTTGAACAAGTTTTTTGGGACCTATCTTGGGTCATTAAGTTTGGATCCCACCATTTTTTATTGATATTTTAATAATAATTATAGCTATTTTATTTTGACTTATAACATGTTTATTATGGTAATAATATTGATTATTATGCATAACATGTTCACTAAGTCTTAATTATTACTAACTACCATATTATGTTAATGGTATTCTTGGTTGGTAATAATATTAATTATTAAGTTTGGATATATTTTAGTACTAGACCATTTTATATCCATGTCACAACTCACTTGGACCATTGAGTTTATGAGTCTAATTTGAGTGATTAAGTGCTATAATTATTATATTGGGTCTATTTATGAGCCATTAAGAATTTAAGGATTATAATTGTTATTTTGGCCATTAAGAATTATAACTATTGTTTAAGTTGATTATATATATTTTAATCTATCAAATAGTTTTCAGGGCCTTAATAATAATATTAATTCCTTTAATGATATAGTAAGCAATATAGTTGGTATATTGCCTTTACAATGGTAATTTGATTATTACCATAATTTCAGTCTCCCTGAAAGACATTATAGTCTTGGTTAATTATTATGTGGTAATATGAGATTGACATTCAGTATCCCCTTAATTATGGTTTTGCGGTTTTGCCATTTATTAAGTTATATTTGGCATTATTAATTACTATTATTAAGTTTAGGGGCTAATCTCGTTTATTACCTTTCATAGTAATTATTATTTCTTGGTAATCTATTATGTTTGGAAAGATTACCTATTTAGTGTTTATTGTTACGTGACGTTGCATTGAGGTTACTGACGATGAAGATGGAAG